ATGAGTTAAAATAAAATTAGTAAATGATGATTTGAGACTCACGTAAATCGTCCTGGTCATAACCAGTAGAAACTTAATAATCTTTGATTAATTTAATCATCCAAAAATAGGAGTATATTAATATAATTCCTATTACGGGAATTATAGTTTATAGTTTCAGTTTGTATCCTATATGTGTCAATTTGGTATTGGAATAATATTATTATTAACAAATTCACGACCTTCGAACGGTGACCCTTACATAATCACAGGAGTAAAACACTAAGTTTCCTTTCCTGATAGCTTTATTGTAGTTTCGTGATTTCCAAAATCATTTCTTTAAAATCACAAAAAAAATTAATAATTCAGCACAAACACAGTAGGGTGAGTTCAAAATTGTTTTGCCTGTGATCATTGGTGTCCTTTTCAACTAGACTATTCATTTTTGATTGCTTTCCAAACTGATACCCAAAGAAAAGCATTCTGACCGGTGAAATTTTTGTGGTTAAATTTGTTGTTTTTACTTGTATAATCAATCCCTGAAATCCCGTCAAGTTGGATACATTTAGACAACAATAGAATCATTTGCATAACCTGCGCTATGAATTTCCCGTATAAAATTCCGAAATGAAACTGATACCTACATTGTGCCAGAAAACATTCTTCTCTTAATTGATTTTGTAGGCGCGAAATTGGATTTTCTAAATAGATGAGGTGACGATTTTGTCAGCCATCTTGTCCGGTAGGCATAGTCGCAAAATAACAAGGAATGACCGGGAAATCGATGTCAAATAATTCTCGCTGAATTCAAATTCGTTAGACAATGTAAAAAGGAGTTAACTGGCCAAATGTGAARGGCGTACTTGATCTAGAGAGCGAGTAAACTCATTTTTAGTTCCCCATACATTTCTTTGTAATTTCCGTGGTCATCAGCGCGTGACGCGCGTGAAAAATACAAAGAAATGTATTGGTAACTAAAAATAAATTTTCTCGCTCCCTAGATGAAGTACATCCTTCAAGTTTGGGCAGGTAACTCCTTTTTGTAGTATCTAACGTTTGCAATTAATAATCTTTTCCAAATTTGAATTCAGCGAGAATTATTTGACATCGATTATTTTGCGACACTATGCCTACCGGTCCAAGATGGCTGACTAAACTGTCACCTCATCTATTGTAAAATTCACAACAAAATTATGTATTATGCAATATATTGTTAATGATCGATTAAAAACTTCAAACTTAAAGTGCACCTTCACGATTTTTTTTTATTATCTAAAACAATTTTTATGAACCTTGAAAGACTTTCTGTGAAAGTTTGGTGATTATTTTGCAAACGGTTGGGACGAAATCGGAAAAGTAAAGCCAAAATTAAGTGCGTCAAATTCTTTTGTCCGAGCGGGGACTGGCGCAACTCTTGTGACGTCATCCCAGGCCATAAGTTCGGTCGCAAAAGACTAAATGCCTTATAAAAGTCTATTTTTCTCATGAAAATCAATAAAACCGCTAAGATTGAATGTATCAAATCGTTTTATATTCATTGAGAATTGTCAAGCGCTTGCCGTGAACTCAGTAGATTTGAATTTCAGCAAATTCCTTGTCCTCGGCACAGAATACGAAATAGGCATTTGAGGCACTTCGAAATTTTTACCTCGCGAAAGACTATGTACATACACGTCAGTCTAAATTTCTCGAGAAAATGAAATATAAAACAACCACGATTACAGACATGAAAATATTCTTCCTTTGCAGAGAAATGTCAAGCGCTGAGCTTGATCGGCGGTTTCAAAATCGGGGAAATACGATGCCCGGCACTCATAATTTTCAACTGAAAACATGACTAAAACTCTACGCTTTGCTTCTGGATCGCTTGGAAAGCGCTTAATATGTTTCAAGAACGAAAGAGTGTTCATTTCTGGATTCGTAGTCGTTTCATTTCATGAAATTTATTAGAAAAGCGCTTGAAAGGAAGAATATTTTCAGTCATGTGCCTTATCACTTATTTCATTTTCTCGAGTACGAGAAGTTTAGACTGCCGGGCATAGAGAACTTTGCCTCAAATGACTGATGGCTGTTTTGCGTATTTTGTGCCGAGGCCAAAAGAATTTGCTGAAATTCCAGCCCTATTACTAGTAAACTGAGTTCAC